GTAATAAAAGGAGGCATAAATACTCAATGTAATTGCATCGAAACCACACTCACCCTCTCTCTCTTTCACACAGATACATACAGACACACACACACAACACACACACACATATATATGTATGATATGCATATATATAAATATATAAGCGTGTATATATATATATATATATATATATATTTTTTTTATATATATTATTTAAATAATATAAATAATATATATAAAAATATATATATATATATATATATATATATATATATGAAATTTTATATATATTATTTATATATTATATATGCTTGGTACGTATTGGAAAGCTCTCAATATCAATGACAGAGCTAACATATTTAGTTGTATTTATGCAAGTTTTTGACCCTGGGTGTTATATGCCCTTTGCGATCGTCAGACAAAATATACCTGACGATCGCAAAGGATGTGAAACCCATGATCACAAACTCACAACAACGTGCATATATATATATATATATATATATATGCACGTTCGATTTATTCGAAAATTATAACATAAATAGGTTAGAAAATCACTACAAAAATTCTTTCAACACTTCTCGTGTCTTATCAAGTGATGGTGTTGAATGTAGAATAAAGAATAAAACAACCCTTTATTCTACATTCAACACCATCACTTGGTAAGACTCCAGAAGTGTTGAAATAAAATGTCTATTTTTGTAGTGATTTTATAACATTTTTATGTTATAATTATCAAATAAATTATATTTTCTCTACTCTGTATTGAGCACTCTTTTAAGAATAGTATTTTTTGGGGTTATTGAACTTTATTCTGTATACACCAATCCTATACTTGGATGTATAGTATAGTATATATATATATATATATATATATATATATATGGTTCCATCGGTACACAGGAATTACCATGTTTCAAAAACAGAAAATAAAAACTTCAAATTCAATTATAGGTTTAAATTAAAGTCCCTAGTCCTGTTTCATTTTCAAGCGAATTTTGGAATAATTCATTTTGAAATTTATTTTTTTATAAGCACTTGCATTCATAATATTATTTTTTAAGGATACGGAGAAATTCAACCATTTTGACAAGGGGTGTTAGGGTATTCATTTCACTGACAACTACTGTATCAAAATATGAGTTACTTTCGAAATGAGGTTAAGTTAAGGTAGGATAGGGGTGCCTGTTCAACGAATGATGACAGCCATTCATCGCATGTCGTCTTGTTTTAGTTTCTATTTTTGAAGCACGGTAATTTCTGTGTAGCGATTTTTTAATTTGGTATATTTATAATATTTATGCTCTCTAGATTTGCATTGAGCATTGTTTTGTAAAAATAAAAATAATTAATAAGAACACCGGATTATATGTCTTACTGTTGAAGCTTAAATAAGCATGGAATAATACAACACAAAATGTACGTTAACAAAATGTATTGAAACAAAGAATAGGTACACAATATTTACAGTTAGTTTGGTATATTCTTGGGAAGACTGTTTCCTGCATAATGGGTTAGTCGGGCAGAGTCTCTGGATTCAATTTCTTAATCTCTACTATCTTCCCCCGTCTTCAGTCATATATTTATATGGTCATAGTCCGCTTATGTAAATTAGGTGTATCATACACAACACTTACTTTTCTTTCTTTTTATTATAATATACATATATATATATATATATATGTGTGTGTGTGTGTGTGTGTGTGTGTGTGTGCCCTGTATATACAAATAATTCTATTAGCCAACAGGTATAGATATAAGTTTCAGGAAATAATTCTGTTCATTTCCAAGAACAATATGTCGGGTCTGTATATAAAATCAGTTCTTACCGAGAACTTGTCTTGGAGGATTTCTTCAGCAAACATACTAACTCAAACCAATAGTTATAGGACACTAAACATACATTTGATTATCGGCCATCAGCATCGGAGATCCTGGCACATTTATGATGAGCTTGCTGCTTTATCTGTTGAACATTTTGTCATAAAAAATCTGCTGGCTTTAAAATTAAATTTGACTCATTTTACGTATTATGATAGGCCATATTGATTTGCATTATCATTATTATTATTATTATTATTATTATTATTATTATTATTATTTCCTTTGATTTATGGTGTGTACGCATTTATTTCCGGGTCCCGCCCAGAGACCTAAGGTCAGAAATGGCATCATGACATTTTCCACTGACCAATTAAAAAAATAAATAAATAAAAATACACATACATATAGATAAAGCCCTTCGTAAGGTGTGACCTGTACTCGGGAGAACAATTTTTTGTATTTCTTTAAGTCATAGGTTTCTAGGAATCCCTTCAATGAGTCTACTGGAATCTTTTCAATCCGAGGGCTCCAACTACAATAGGGATTGTTGATGTTCCCATGTGTCACATTTCTGAGATTTCAATTTCAAGGTTTTTGTATTTTGACAGCTTTTTGAAGATCTTCAAAGATACATTGCAGTCTTCAGGGACTGCCATATCAATAAGGAGTCAATGTTTTTGTTTGCGGTCTCTAATAACAATGTCTCGGCGATTATTATTATTATTATTATTATTATTATTTCCTTTGATTTCTGTTGTATACACATTCCCTTCCGGGTCCCAACCAGAGACCTAAGGTCAGAAATGGCTTTATGACATTTTCCATTGAACGTTTTTAAACATAAGATCAAACACTTTACACAGAGAAAGCCCTTCGTAAGGTGTGAGCTGCATTTTTGTATTTCTTTAAGGAATGGGCTACCATTATTATTATTATTATTATTATTATTATTATTTTCTTTGATTTCTGTTGTATACACATTTCCTTTCGGGTCCCAACCAGAGACCTAAGGTTAAAAATGATATTTTCATGATATTTTCCACTGATATTGTACACACTTTACATAGATAAAGCACTTTGTAATGTGTGAGCTGTACTTGTGAATACTATAGCTTTTTCAAGATCGTCAAGGATACATGACAATCTGCAGTGACTGCCATATCAATAAGAATGCACATTCTGTTTTTGTAGTCTTTACTCACGATGTCTAGGCGATGAACTTTGATTGTTTCGTCTGTATGTATTACTGTTATGGTCCGGTTCCTTGTACCACAGTGATAGTCCAAGGTAGAACCAATAAAGAAGAACTCTAACACAGGTATGGAATAACACACAGATATTACAAAAAGGAATATATACAGAGAAGTAGACGTGTTAGTATGAACAATGAGGTTTAGTAGAGAGAACAATGTAGTCTCGACCAGTATCACTATTCCAATGTCTTGCAGTAATTGTCTGAACGCGACTCTGTTTCGGACTGCCTCTGACTCGACTCTTGACTCGACTTGAACTACTGACTCGTCTTGAACTACTGATTATATTTAGTCACCCCCCCACGTGGGCATCATGTGGCACAAGGCCGGTTTAACGTGGGCTCTCCGAACCCGTGGGCTCGGCCAAAAATATGCCCATTGAACCCGTATTAACGGGTTCAGGGTCGGTTTACCTTCCCGAAAGAGAATCCGCCCTTCGGCGTAGCCTCCTTCGGGTTCCTCCCCGCCCGAAGGCAGAGAGTTCAACCGAACAGCCGGTCAAGACTTGAACTACTGATGATATTCAGTCACCCCCCCACTGGGGCAGCATGTGACACAAGGTCAGTTATTTATTGTGGGTTCTCCGAGCCCGTGGGCTAGGCCTCAAAATATGCCCATTGAACCCGTATAAACGGGCTCAGGGCCGGTTTACCTCCCCGAACGAGACTCGGACCCTCGGCGTAGTCTCGTTCGGGTTCCTCCCCGCCCGAAGGCAGACAGTTCAACTAAACAGTCGGTCAAGACTTGAACTACTGATGATATTCAGTCACCCCCCCACGAGGGTGTCATGTGGCACAAAGCCTTTTTAACGTGTGCAATTCCCAAGCCATTAGGCTCGGCCAAAAAAATAGCCCATTTAAACCCGTATAAACGGGTTCAGGGCCGGTTTTACCTCTCCGAAGGAGACTCCGCCCTTCGGCGTAGCCTCCTTCGGGTTCCTCCCGCCCGTAGGAAGAGAGTTTAACCGTGCAGTCAGTTCAGACTTGAACGACTGATGATATTCAGTCACCCCACCACGTGGGTGTCATGTGGCACAAGGCCTTTTTAATTGTGGGCATTCCCGAGCCATTAGGCTCGGCCAAAAAAAATACCATTTGAACCCGTATAAACGGGTTCTGGGACAGTTTACCTCCCGAAGGAGACTCCGCCCTTCGGCGTAGCCTCCTTCGGGCCCTCCCGCCCGTAGGAAGAGAGTTTAACCGAACAGTCTGTTCAGAGGTGAACGACTGATGATATTCAGTCACCCCCCACGAGGGTGTCATGTGGCACAAGGCCTTTTTAACGTGGGTATTCCCGAGCCATTAGGCTCGGCCAAAAAAGCCCATTTGAACCCATATAAACGTGTTCTGGGCCGGTTTTTACCTCCCGAAGGAGACTCCGCCCTTCGGCGCAGCCTCCTTCGGGTTCCTCCCGCCAGTAGGAAGAGAGTTTAACCGAACAGTCAGTTCAGAGGTGAACGACTGATGATATTCAGTCACCCCCACGAGGGTGTCATGTGGCACAAGGCCTTTTTAACGTGGGCATTCCCGAGCCATTAGGCTCGGCCAAAAAATATACCATTTGAACCCCGTATAAACGGGGTTCTGGGCCGACTTTACCTCCCCGAAGGAGACTCCGCCCTTCGGCGTAGCCTCCTTCGGGCTCTCCCGCCCGTAGGAAGAGAGTTTAACCGAACAGTCAGTTCAGAGGTGAACGACTGATGATATTCAGTCACCCCCACGAGGGTGTCATGTGGCACAAGGCCTTTTTAACGTGGGCATTCCCGAGCCATTAGGCTCGGCCAAAAAATAGCCCATTTGAACCCGTATAAACGGGTTCTGGGCCGGTTTTACCTCCCGAAGGAGACTCCGCCCTTCGGCGTAGCCTCCTTCGGGTTCCTCCCGCCCGTAGGAAGAGAGTTTAACCGAACAGTCAGTTCAGAGGTGAACGACTGATGATATT